AAGTCTTCCCATGTATACGTTTGCAAAGTTGGGTGCGACACTGGTTCCCATGGCTGTTCCTTTGATTTGAATGTAGTGTTCATTGCCAAAGGTAAAATTGTTGAGTTTGAGAACCTTCTCGAGGAGACACGATAATGTTTTCGGTGATGGCTTATTCTGGTTTGTTTTGCCCAGCTCTTCCTCCACAATAGTGAGTCCTTCGTCTGTGTCTATATTCGTATATAGGCTTGATACGTCCAGTGTTGCTAAGTAACACTTTTCGGGTAACTTTCCCAAAGCCCGTATTCGCTTAATGAAGTGTGTGGTATCTTGTATGTATGACGGTAGCTTTTCTGCTATAGGTCTCAAAAACTCGTCCACATAAGCTGATAGCTTCTCCGTGTGGCTGTTTACGGAGGATACTACTGGTCTCCCTGGATTGTTAACTTTGTGTATTTTGGGGAGCATATAGAATATAGGAGTTCTTGATTGTGCTGGTCTTACGAGTTTAGCTACTTCTTCTTCTAATTCCCCATCGTCCATAAGTGAGTCTAAGCACTGGTTTATGAGCTGTTCGTGTTCAAGAGTGAGATCTCTTCCTACTCTCTTGTAATATACTTCATTGTCTAGTTGCCGTTTAGCCTCTTTTACATAGTCCTTTGTATTCATGATGACCGTAGCTCCGCCTTTATCTGTGGGCTTGATGATTATGTCCGTGTTATTGCTTAGTCTATACAAAGCTGCTCTCTCGCGTTTGGTTAGATTATTACGTGGAGATCGTAGATTGTACAAAGTCTCATCACTGATTTCTTGCCTTAATTTGTCAATATATGTATTAAGGTATGGTTCCCTTGAAGGTCTAGTATACACCTTGCGCTCCTTCTGGTTCAATTTTTGAAGAATCGATGGTAGGTATCCAGGGCCGTCTATTACGTCTTCTATATTCTCAGGAGTGTGATATTCTTTAAGGGTTAGTCTGCGGGCAAAGGCATCAATGTTCTTACTGATGTCATATTTTCCTGGTGGCGGTGGTGTTGGGCAAAAGTTAAGTCCCTTACGTAGAAGGTTTGTTTCCGACTGCGTAAGTTGAATGTCAGATAAGTTTACTGTTCGCCTATTTAAAATATTCTCTATCTGCGTGGATTTATCACGTGTTATTTCTTTGGGTTTGTCTTTACTCATTGTTATATATATATATATTGTTATATATATATATATATATATATATATATATATATACATGAATAAGGCTGATTTAAAAAAGCTCAGTAAATCAAAATTGGTCAAACTGTTGTTAAAACAGAATGCAGAATCTACTCCCAAACCAAGCATTAAACAAATGGTGAAGCAGAGCAACATAATAATAGTAGATGATAAACCAGTTTTTACGACAGGTGTTTCAGTTCTGAAGATGTGTTGAACGAGCATAAAACTAACTGTATCATAATGGCGAACAAGCAATTGAAATGCCAGAAAAAGTCAAAAAATATGTTGAAAATTAACAACTATTATAAACAATTACCAATACCATTTGTCATCTATTCAGATTTTGAAGCAATAACAGAAAAAGTGCATAGATGTAGACTAAATGATGATAAATCATATTCTGAATCATATCAGAATCATGAAGACTAGTTATGATGATAAATACAGTGTCGTACACTATCAGTTCAACCACTATTTTAATCCCGACGCGTGGGAAAACGCTATTTCAATTCCGACGCATGGGAAACCACTATTTCAATTCCGACGCTTGAAAAACCACTTTTTCGATTGCTGTATGAAATTAAATGCTATGACTAATTTCCTCGAAAAAGTCTCTGTTGAATTACATCATTATCGGCAGCAACTTTTGTCACAATTGTTAAAACATATTCTCCTTCCTTCAATGTCAGTGCTGGTGATGAGAAAAGTCAAACAGCTTGTTAAAAACCCAATATTGATAAGGGAATGAGTCCTTTGATCAAACTTCAAGTGAAGGGGAGTTCAGTTAAAATAAATTATTTGAAAGAAATGTTCAAGTCACAATTTTCCTTGTGACCTGCCTTGTTTCACGGCTTTACACGGTTCTGCCTTTTACACGGTTTATCGTGTTCTCTTGATGATATTTCTTTCTTTAAGCTGGTTTTTGAGAGAATAGGTCATTAAATGTATTTCTTACTGTTTGCAGGCATCTTTAATTGATGTTTGCATAAGAAAATATTAGGATCTTGATGTTCAGCGCTTGCTCTAAAGGACTAATCACTCTTTGCTATGAAAGGATGATTGACGCCTAATGACGCGCGGGAAGCGTTATTATGGAAATTTATCTGGGTTGAGTGATGAGTAAGAAATGGGGTTAAAATCTGTATTGTTTGCCTTCAGTTGGATTAATGAATGACCAACAGCAAAATATTTGTGCTGAAATGGATTGCTACACTCTAAAAGCGTCAAAGGGAAGTTAAGCGTTACCACTTCATCGCTGTTTTCCATGAGTTAAAAGTGCTGCCTTTGAAAAGGTAAGGTCTTCAATGCCTTTAATACACTGTCGAGAGGCTTGATTTACGTGCCGCTCAAGTTCGAAAATATTGGCAGTTACAGTCGTTTGCTCGGTTCTCAAGTAGGAACTACAAATCCACTATGTATCTGTTTTACGATGCTCTGGCTTTGACTTTTAACCAGTGGCATCACGTAGGGTACTCGTATGACTTCATATCCGGTGAAGCAAATTTATGGATAAATGGACAATCAGTGGTAAGGATGAATATTGGAAAACAGATTGATTTTGCCAGTCAAGATGAAGTCCGAATTGGTGCTGTCAACATAGATGAGAGATACTTTCAAGGAAGAATCACCGCCGTACAGCTTTATGACGTGGCCCTGAACACTGAGCAAATAAAAGCCGTGGAAGACGTTGGTCAAGGCGGTAATTATTCTGAGACTTTAATTCGTGCCAATTAATGACTTCTTCGTGAACCAGTTAACTCGGTACCTTAACTTTTAAATTTCCACAAATCTTTGCACAATCATTTGTAGGGTATTCTATCAGGTGTAATGAGCGAGGCAATTTACTGATAGAAGTTCATGAGTTGGTAGCTGATGTTTATGCAGACAAAAAGCCCTTTCAGAATGGGGGTGAATGCAGAAGCTCTGGTGACAGCTACACCTGTTCCTGTGTTGAAGGATTCCAGGGAAAAATTGCGAAACTGGTGAGTAAAAGCCTCACAAAAAGTGTGCCAACAATGAAAGAGTGAGGATACTGCAATACCTCTGGTCAAAATTGCGACGAGTTTATTTTAAAAATGAAAGCTTAAAATTGACAACATGACTCCACTGCAGGTTACGCACCGTTCGTCTCCGATTCAGGATCACAGGACCTTCCCTGACCCCACCTTTCCCTTTTCTTTTTTGTTGGACAATCTCGTCCTTATTCTTGTTATCAAATTTTCTAGTTAGAATGCATTTAAACTAACTGGTTGTTCCGTTTTAAGCCTATATTTTTCGCTGCGTGGCTAAATTAAAGAACTTCAGAAATTCTCGACTAGATTTTTCCAAAGTGCTCGCTTTTGGTTGTTCAAATACATTTTATGACCCCAATGGTTTGCCTACGAGCTTTCACTTCTTCAAGTTTATGCACGGAGGCATGTATTTTTGCTAAGTATTTATCGTTCTATACTTATCTTATTCTCTGTGAATTATGGATGAGGGTAATTATTGTTGCAAAATTAGTACAAATTTTTTAGTAGGTACCTAAATTGTTTTAGTTCGCATGGAACTCTCAAAAAATATTTTGTGTGCTTTATGTATCAATGAATTTGATGCTTCAAATTGAAAAAAAGAAAAAGTGAGTTTCACCAACTAAAAGAGTTCTTGACACAGATGAACTATGACACTAAATTTTATTATTCACAAAATTGTCCTCGTAATAAAAAGTTTGATAGAAGTCTCACAAAAAATAATTTCTCATACATTTCGATGGTCTGAAAGATTCTCTTTTAAAGAAATCTTATGGTAACTATAACAGGATAAAATAAATATCTTGATTTGGATGTATTTCTCAATCTTTTAAGTATCTTCTTTCCATCTCAAAATTATATCATAACATTGGTTAACACAATGCAATAAGAACTAGTATAGCAAACCTTTGTGTCAGAAGGCCTCTGAGTGCTAAGAATGGGAATATCAATTCACTGAATGTTTATCACTGACGGAAACTTAAATGTGTGTAAAGGACTAGCATTGTTGAGATCAGTAGCTGAGAGGAAGCATTTCTGTTCTCTTCCTTTAACCCTTAAATACCCAAGATCTGATTGTCAATTCTCCCTTCGAGTTGCTACACATTTACTTGTAAATAAGTTATGAGAATTTGATGTAAGATCAAGATAGCTTCTGCCTGATAAGTTTCAGTATTAACATTATCTGTTTGCTGGATAGTGTTTAGAGAAGTTACATGAATCAGTCACTTCTGTGAGTTTTTAAATTATCTAATATTTTGGTCTTATTCTTTCAATGGTGTCTTGCCACCTAACAAATTACCATGAGTCGCGGACTGAAATGGTTTTCGATGTATCACGAGCATAAGTTGTCCCGAACCAGATGGGTATGAAAATATTATGACATCTGTTAGTTACAGTTTTCCTCCTGGGTTGATAGAAAGAAGGTTATAATCAACTGATAAAATGTACAAATGGCAAACTAAAATACATTTTGGTAAACGAAATGGGAACAACTTTAACTGAAGAATATGGTACAACAACAAGTACCACATCAACAACGGCAGCAATAACAAATCTCCTCTACCTAAAGGGCTGCAGCCGTTGCCTCGCTTTCTAAGCCATCCTGAACAGCTTCTGTGGTACTTCCTGTAATGCGTTCCTCTCAACACGATGTGGCAATATTCTCGTGAAACAACAGGGTAATCGTAAAGCTGACTGAAATTCATCTCAGGTAAATTACGGAGATTACTCGCCCATCCAAGGGCTGAAATCCTTACCATAGTTACTTCGTATCTGAAGTCGCTCTGGTTTTGTTCTAGGTCCTGGACATCTGTAAGAAGTTCTCGGTTTTCTCCACTACTCGATGGAAGGACGTGTCGCATCAGCAAAGCATAAACTTTCAACACAAGTCGGCTCTAATTCAGCCCGTCGATTTTAAATTAGATATTAGAATCTCCCTGAGATCTTTTGCTTCGAGTTTCTGGATGTCATCTAATGACGAAATTTTCATATTGTTGTTTGAAGGGAGAAATCACATTGAAAAGTGCATTAGATCGTGAAATGTCAGCAGATCAGCTGTATGAAAGAACCGCCGGGTCAACCCCAGCCTCGTTATCGTGTATGCGCGGTTAGTAATCCAATATGGCGCCGGGAACTGTAAAAAGGTCTATTAATAATTTATTTATGCGAGGACTGGACAAATCCCGAGAGGATTCCGGCAGAAACATTTAAATACGCCCTTTGGTATGTAACTAAAATATTTGTGTAATCAACGCGAACATTACCAGGAGAAGAGAGGACCAGAATTTTTTACTTTTTGCTAATATAATGTGCAAACATTAAACTCCTCTGTTTCCTGTGTCGACGCCTGGTCTTCTAATTCTTCACCCTCGACCACGAGTTCGAATCAGTCAAAAGTTTTGCTCTCGCCGAGAAGGGAAGAGCATACGCCGACGAATAGCCAGCCTGAAGTCAACGGCCCACGGACCGCCAAGAGAACAATTCGTAAGTCAAAAGGCTCGACGAAAAGGCATTTGAAAGCTCAAGACTTCAGAAACACACAAGCCGACAGAAGCCTGCCAAATAGGTAAAACTGACAACTGAAAGGTAAAACAATTCCTTATTTACCGCCGACCTCGTTTATCCATGTTCAAGTTCAGGAGTTAAAGAATTCAGTTATCACTTACGATGTTATCGTAAAGACCTTACTCTTTTCAACAACTGACCGAATATTCGCGTAGTTAAACTGTTTACATTCAAGCAAGAGATACCTTCCTATTTGAAGAAACCCAAAAACATCGATGCCATGTTTTAGGGAATGTGTAAGCAAACTTTTACGCTAGTAACGGGAATTTATATTTATTATCTGAAGTTAGTAGTATATAATGCCTCCTAAAGTAGAATTACCAACATTTATTGCAAAAGGAGACAAACAATAGCTTCATTGAACGACTTATTCGAAGAATTCCACGTGCTTTACTAAGCTGAACCGGTATGGAGTAATCGCGTAGCTAAACTGTTTACATTCAAGCAAGAGATACCTTTCTATTTGAAGAAACCCAACAACATCGATGCCATGTTTTAGGAAATGTGTAAGCAAACTTTTACGCTAGTAACGGGAATTTATATTTATTATCTGAAGTTAGTAGTATATAATGCCTCCTAAAGTAGAATTACCAACATTTATTGCGAAAGGAGACAAACAATAGCTTCATTGAACGACTTATTCGAAGAATTCCACGTGCTTTACCAAGTTGAACCGGTATGGAGAGGGCGTGAAATTGCGCCTAATACAGGCGCCAATGCGCCTAAATTTTTCACTTTGGCGACCAAATCCTGAAAGTTAGTCGCCAAATAGGCGACTAGAACGTTTCATCATAACCTTACTAAGAGATATAGTGAATTAAAAAGATTTGCAAAGATAAATCCGCGGCAAATTTCCTCGTTAAGTTTGTTTCCAAAACGTAGCACATGCATCTCGATCGATAACTAGACGCCATCTTGGATTTAGATGAGCCTGAATGTTGTATATCATCCATCCTAGTGTCCACTTTGTAGCACGTTAAAGACCTTTTCCCTAACTTAATTTTGGAGGGTCTATCTAGAACGCTGACAGCGTAAAGAAAGATTTTGTTTGTCTTTGAAAATGGCGACCAACTTTTTTTTGAATTGGCTACCACTTTGAAGAATTTAGGAGCCAAGTGGCTATCAGAAAAAAAAAAGTTAATTTCACACCCTGGAGTACTCTTGAAAACGTATCCAAAGAAGTCGAATCGGTAACATTTCCGCACAGCCCCATCCTACATTATACATTCAGTTCTTGAACAGAGAAAACAATGACAAAAATAATACATTTCCATTGAGAAAACAGATTTGTTTTACAATGGTATGGGGCTGTGCGGAAACTTGACCGCCGAATCTAAATATAGAAGTGTTAAAAAGCCGCAAGAAACAATTGCCGACAGACTTGCTGAACATGTGTCAGAAGAATCACAAACAAAGAATCAAGTAATCGGTGACGAAGCCAAAGTTAATTTTCTAAAATGCGCAGAACAGTTCGTTAATTATCAAAAATCATTCGCGACTGAAAAGCCGCTGTTTAAACACGAAGTATTCGAAGCAATGGCAGTAGCAGTAACAAAAATGACCGATGTTTTGAGTTCGCAAAGGTACGCAAGCCACAAGCTAGAGAAATTGTCAGTTCCCATTTGGGATAGTGTTAGAAAGTCTTGCACAACTTGGAAGCACGAATTGTCAGTACGGGATGAATAAGTATAAACAAGACAAAAATGAAAGATTGCAAAGGTTTCGGAAAATATTACCTTAAAACTCATTTTAGTCGGATCAAGTAAGGCCGTGCAAAACGATTGAACAGTCGTGGAAAATTCTCCAAATTCTCGTTTGTTTGGAATTTAAAGAAGTTTCGGAATTTTTATTTAGCGAAATGTTGTGGTTCATTCAACAAGTTTAATATATATTTTCTACGGAGTTTGGACTCTAGTCTCCGGCTTTTTTTCGTAAATGTATTTTTACATGGTGCCGAGACCCGGGAATATTGACTCGCTCCCTCTCTCTGGAAAGATGGCCGATGAAGAACTGAAATAGAAGAGAAAGATTAGAGGAGGACATAAAGGATACGTTATGACGACTCTGGAAAAGGTAAAGGCCTTACTCGATGAATTTGAACCTCCTCTGGTGAATTAATTGAAAACTTAACGGATTGCTCTTACGGAAAAACTCAATGTCCTTCGAACCCTGGACAACGAAATTCTGGCTTCAATGACAGAAGAGCACATCGAAGATGGAATCAAGGAAACTGGAAACTTCAGAGAATCTATTCATCAAATGATAGTGGAAATTGACGAAACTCTCAACGCGGTTGAATTGTAAATGGCCGGAAATACAGATAAGTCAATTCCTCTCTCTAATTCTTATTCGTTTACTGAAAGACTTGGAATCGGAAAGGAAAACTGCTGAAGACTAATCTTAAGAAATTCTATGGTGATCCCATTTCCTTCAATCCATTCTGGGACCCATTTGCAAGTGCAGCCGATGACAACCTTGGTTTATCAGACGTTGACAAACTCAATTATTTGAGAAGTTTGTTAGAAGGGCCAACCGCAGGAGCCATTCGAGGGCTATCTCCTACAGCAGAAAATTACGAGTCAGCTAAAGCCATGCTAAAGAAACGATATGGGCAACTCCAAGTAATCATTAATGCTCACATGGAGGGATTAGTGAAAGTATCAGCTGTAAGCGCGGACGATGATTTGAGGCGTCTACGCCTTCTTTATGCTCGAGTTGAGGCACTCCTTCGAGCTTTACTAGTCCTGGGAATAAACTCTGAATGGTATGAGAAGCTTTTGATTCCTCTTGTCATGGAGAAATTACCTTCGAATATGCGCTTGATAATTTCAAGGGACGTGGATCAACCAGAATGGGACTTGGATGTTTTACTTAACACCTTCAACCATGAAATTGAAGCGAGAGAGCGATGCGAGCTGATTGGAATCTCAGAAATGCTGCCCAAGGAAGTAATGTAATGAACGTCAATGAAGCAAATAGCAGAGAAAACAAGTCCTCTACAACAGTGTACGTGGACTTAAACACGTCAATTTCGCTTCAAACGGCCAACGCCTCTGTGACACAGATTCACCAACCTCGTTCTGCTGTAACTATGCGCATTCTATTTGACAGTGGCATCCAGCGGAGCTACATTTCCGAACGAGCAAAGAAGAGTTGGGTCTGTTCCCGAAGAGAAAAGAGAAGCTACTCATCAAAACGTTTGGAGAAGAAAACGAAGACTTAGGAGAGTGTGGCATTGTCGAATTCTGTGTCGGAGGATTGAGTCAAAGCTCAGGCGTTCAGATGACTGCTCATACCGTCCCTCTTATCTGCAGTCCTTTGGTGAATCAAGTCGTACAGTTTGCTCAACAATCATACAGTCATCTGGTAGACTTGAAACTTGGAGATCAATCGTCTGAAGACTGTTTCACAAGTAGATGTCTTAATTGGAAACGATTTCTATTGGTCTTTCTTCACTGGAGACACGAAACAGGGGGAATCAGGACCTGTAACGATGAAGACGAGTCTTGGATGGGTGCTATCTGGTCCTTTGCCCCAAACAACAGGCTTAGATACTCATGTTCATTCAGTCACAAGCAATGCCTTGCGTCTAGACACCTCCTCATGTGGAGACACTGTTACCGAAAAGAAAATTTACGACCCACAGCTGGAACAAGTGAAAAATTCTGGGAGTTAGAAGCTATTGGTATGTCAGCGCAAGAAAAGACAGTGCATGAGAAATTCCTGGATACTATTAATCTTAACAACGGCCGCTATGAAGTCTCTCTTCCTTGGAAAGAACAGCACGCATTACTACCGGATGACTATGTTCAAGCCGTCTCTCGCCTGACTTCTGTTCTAAAACGTCTAAGAAAGAATCCTGGATTATTTGAAGAGTACAACTGCATCATTGAAGAGTAATCTTCCCGAGGAATAATCTCCGATGTCGACCCCGACATACCAGTCGAAGTTGGTCGCGTACATTATTTACTGTATCATCCATTTGTGCGCGAATATAAACAGACGACTAAAGTATGGATAGTCTATGATGCATCCGCCAAGTCTACTGGTCCAGCGACTGCCTTCATGCAGGTCCATCATTGCTTTCTGAAATACCCGATGTACTAATGCGTTTCAGGTACCACCCAGTTGCTTTGGCGACCGACATTTGAAAAAGCCTTTATAAGGGTCCAGATCACAGAAGCTGACCGAGATATTTTGTGCTTTCTTTGAATAGATGATACTGAGGGTGTAGATCCAAACATTGTCGTGAAACGTTTCAACCGAGTTGTATTTGGCGTTACAAGTTCTCCCTTTCTGCTGAAAGCAACGATCAGACATCACGTGACCAAGTATGAAGCTAATGATCCCCAGTTTGTGAGCGATTTTCTGACCTCTCTCTACGTGGATGACTTCAATGGGGGAAAGACAGCATCCTTGAAGCATTTGAGCTATACAAAAAAGCAAGATCAAGAATCAAGGAAGCTGGATTCAACTTAAGGAAGTGGATGTCGAGTTCTACGAGGCTCATGAAATGGATCGACGAAGGAGTAACTGTTAAAGAAGTGGTTAAGCTATACGAAGAAGACAGTACCTAAACGCAGACTCAGTGTGGAGTCCAAGGTTGTTCCAAATCCGTTTCAAGCGAGAAGAAGATTCTCGGATTAAATTGGAACATTGACAGATACACCTTCGTTTTCCGATTTGACTGGCTGGTGGAATTCGCTAGAGAACTACTCATAAACAAGCGTACTGTACTCAAGGTTGTGGCCAAGTTGTAGGATCCTCTTGGTTTGATTTCACCTCTCTTCGTCCCAATCGAGACACTCTTTCAGGATTTATGCAAATTGAAAATTGGATGGGACGACTCTCTCGATGAGGAACTTTCTTTAAGGTACTCACAATGGTTATCTGATCTGTCAAAACTGAATTTATCCCGATCCAACGATGTTTTCTTCCAGACGAAAGCGTAATTTCACTTCAACTACACGGCTTCGGAGACGGTTCGGAAGTAGCGTACGCGGCAGCTGTATATCTAGGAGTGGAAGCGAGTAAAGGAGTATACGTTTATTTGTTGATGAATAAGTCGCGAGTCGTACCGCTTTCCAAGCAAGCCATTCCCAGGACTGAGCTCTTAGCGTCATTCGTACTATCCAGGTTGATTACCCGAGTCTGTTCAGCCCTACTTCCATTGGTCAAGATTTATGACGTATTTTTCTGGAAAGATTCCACTACGACTCTGCACTGGATAAAGTGGGTGGACAAAGAATACAAGCAATTCGTTGAGAAAAGAGTCAATTTATCAACACGCGGCATAATAATTTGCATGTCTAGAAATAGTCGGCTGTGATGGGTCAACAGATTTCGCTTTAGGAATACTTGAGTCTCTTTGCAGATTTCAGCTGCTGTCAATCAAACGGTTAGATGTGTAAAGTAAATCCCAAGGTGCGATAGAGTTAAAAACAGCGCTCTAATTAAAGGCGAGGCGCTCTGTTGACAAAGTGTTTTGCAAATTCGTGTCCAGTGTTAATTTTATGACTCGATAGACAACTAACAAAAACGTGCTCTGATTTATCGAAGAAGTTTCATGAAGAACAGGCAGTTTAGAAAGCTTAACCTGTGATCAGGCGGGGTTTTTTTTCCGAGTGCGAAATGCGGCGGCAGGGGACTCGAAATCGCAGGTTAGGCGGTGCTCAATCAACGAGTTACCGGTGATCGGGTGAATTTTTCCGCGCTCAATTACTCTTTGTCTTTAACGTGATTTTCGTGGGCCCTCGAAAAAAACGGCGTGAAAAAAATGGCCTGGTCGTTTCAGTTCATTGTGATCAGTGCGATGCGGGTCACTCGCTTTTACTTCTCACTCGCGCTGTTATAAAACGCGCGGTTACTAAATAGGTCTTTACCTTTCTTGTGTTCAAATAGAGAAGAAGCGATTAAAAAAAACATCGGCTACAAAGGAGATCGTAAAGTCGATATTCTGAAATATTTTCTTGTTAAAAGCGTTGCTCAAAGAGCGAGCGCGAGGCACGGGTCACTCACTTAAACTTCACCCTCGCGCTCTTTTACTGTGCCGCAGTCCTGACCGAGAGTATATCACCGGATTTTTTTCTCTTTGAAGTTCGAACGGCAAAAAGAAAAACAAACAAGCACCCGCCTAAAACAAGCTTACGTCTGAGGGAACAATCCTAGTGGGGGAAATGTAAGAGAATAATGGTATTGTTAAAATTAACATTAACAATCGAACTCGCAAAAAAAGTAGGCTCAATGAACCCACAATCAAGGATTGAGGTCGGTAGCCGGAAGTTCTGATTTATGTAATTGCTTATTTTCTATTTCGTTAAAATCGCTTCGATCGTTCCGATCAGTAGAGAAAAAGTTGAGTGATGCTTCCGACAACCGGCATGTGATTGCGACGATCGTCGAGATAGAACTAAAGTCTATATCGTGACAACAATAGCTGGAGTGTGGTTGCCATATGATCGTGACGATTACTGAATATTTTTGCAGCGATCGCAGCGATTATATCTTAAAAGCTTTTATAATTTTTTAAGCATTGTCTAGTTACTACCTCAATTTCAATACTGATTTGGCGGCGTGTGCGCAATTGTTTGCAAAGGCGGAGCTTGGCATATATAGATGTTCTCACGGGAAGTTTAAAATAGGTCACTTGTATTCTCGTGGGACTCTCCAAAGGACAAATTTGGAGAGAAAACTACGATGCTGAGCAAACGTTTTCGAAATTCTATGAATCTGCGAAATGCA